GAAGGAGCATATCAAGATTCATGGTTTCTGAGCTATTGGAGTGTCAAGTATCCAGACTTACCTGCCAAAATATGTGCTGGGCATAGATAATTTGAGTTGTCTGTTACTGTGGTATATCAAGTGTGTTCTGGTATTTAACTTCTATGTGTGGGATTATGGATTTTAGAACATTGTGTGTTATTTGCTTAAGACATATATGAAAAACCAGTTTAATGGACTTCTATTCGATCCTTTTTCACTAATAAAACCTAAGTGAAAAGAAAGAGATAGGTGAGAAATATAGGAGAAATTGTTGAAAATAAATCGTTTTATTGCAGTGATGTTTTATATATTTATATTATTAGTATTATTTTTTCTTTATAAAAAAGAACTAGATTTGAAAAAAGAAAAAGAAATTGCAGTCTCGTATAATCAGTTATTAACCTCCTAATCGTTTTTCCGGATGTTCTAAACCAGTCCGCGCGCTGTTACAAAATACTATTTAACAACTTTTTTCTAAAATTTAATTTTGGTTTGAGTTTTAATTTAATTTTTTAACTGAAATTTAAGTGAAAGTTGTTCTTCAAAGACATTCACATCAAATTTATGTGATTTCCCTCATGGTTTAAACCTATTTTTTGTGGATATATTCACATGTATATATGTGTATATACGTATATATAATTTCACTATACGTCTTCCAAGCCATTTTCTCGTCCTCTTTTCGTTTTCTTTCTATTCTTTCATGTTTACTAACAAATGATAAGTTGGAGATTTTCCTACGAGTGCCTCCTCGGGCAAAGATCTTTTTACATGTTTACTGTTTTTTTATCGCTCTTTCCCAGCATAAGCAACTTAGAAAAAATCATGGAATTATTTTTTTAATTTTATTCACACTATGAAGGGATAACTAATCCAATGCCTAGATTTTGAAATATTTCTTAAATACCGGACTTCTTGTTTATCAAGAAAATCTTTCAACGACAACACTGTAAATGAAGGTTTTTTTATTGAGATTTGTTCACTTTCAAGTGTTTTCAAGCACCTAAAGATTAAGATATGAAATGAGAGTGTTTCATCCTACACCTCCAAGATTTCATCCTGCACCTCCAAAAATTCCACTTTTAACCTTCTGACATCTCATCATCATCCTGCACCTCCAACTTTTTCAAAACTTTATTTTTAACTTTAATAAATATTTTTCCATTTTCTTTTCTTTTTTATTAAAAATAATCTTCACTACCTTAATAATAATTTAATTTAATTTATTTTAAAATTTAAATATTATTTAAAATAATTTTGTATTTTAATAATTATTAAAATATAATTTATATTATAATAATAGTTATATTAAAAACATAAAAATAAAATAATAACAATAATAAATAATAATAAAAATAAATTTGATTTAATATATTCAAATATATTAAATTATAATAAAATATTAAAATAAATTAAATAATTATTAAATTTTAAATAAAAATGAAAATTTTAAAA